GAATAGAATATATTATATATATTATTAAATATTATTAAATATTATATTAAATATTATTAAATATTATTCTTGTACAAAAACAAGAAGTTATTGTTTTACTGAATAAAAAACGTACGATAGGAAATAACGAATATATTGTATGTACATACTTTTTTGTGTTTATTCTCCAGCCTCGAAACCCATTCGGGCGTCTTGAAGTGTTCTTCCGGTTCCAAAGCCATTGTTTGATGAGAATTTCGTGAAGTAGATTTATGGTTTWCAAAGAGTTTAAGAGTGTTGAATCTGCGTGGAAAAACGGATCGATCTTCTCGTTGKGAATGTTGTATTATTGGCGTAAAAACAGAGTGCGAGTTTTAACAGTTACACAAGGRACGAACAGAGGCTGAGTGTCGGAACGATGATTCATCGTCATAGCAGATTATAAGTCTATTGAAATAATAATGAGTGGAAGAAAAAAACCAACGGACGGTTAGCAATAATGAATGTTAAAGAATATTATATTGTATTGATACTGTGGAAAGCATAAATTGTTTACGCATCTCCCGTGTGGGGATGACGTCAACAACGAAGAATTTCAACGTGACAGCAAACAGTAAACAGTACCGACTGCCGACTAGAGTTTTTGTAGTCGACGACGACTTGCAACAAACTGGTGAGTCGTGGTCACGATAACAGAAGGGGAAAGACGCGAATGACGGTCGAAAACAATGAAAACTGCTTCACGGCGAGGCGTGAGTTTACCGCTTACTGCTTAGTCAGCTTACTAGCTTAGTAGCTTAGCTTAGTGCCTTACTGGGCTTACTGCCGACTGTCAAGTGCCAACTGGCATTTTGGTAATTTACTATCTTACATTATTTTGTCAAAAACTCAAAAGTGGCTCAATAAAATTTATCAGTAATTTCGTTTATTATTATTCGTCAATTGTTACGGCCGTAGACCTTTAAACTATTATCAATTGGAGCTCACGGTCCACGACCACTGGCGAGTGCCGAGTGACAACCGGCTTGACGGCCGATAAGGAGATACCTAATTAGTAAATGATAAAATTGATAACGTTCTGTCAATCAGTCTTTTTTAAGATAGTATACCTAATTGTGATTTCTTGATTGACGACTGTCATCATGGTTATACAWTGGATTGGCGTAATCTGTAGAGGGGCAATGGCCGATGACTGCCCCCCAGAAATTTAACTTAATAAGCAATAGTGTCTTTTTACCTTACAAAATATGTTTAATTTTACCAGGCTGCACCCCCCCCACCAGCAATTTTTCTCAGATTACGCAAGGGGGGGGGTACATGTTTCGATATGACATGTTGGAAAACAAAAAACCAAGTATGGTGTATAGACATTTTAAAAATCAATTTTTTTTTGTTTATATCTATTGGCTATGAAACTTTTTTCGTTGGGTCAAAAATCTTTGAAAAATTTAAACAAAATCCTAAATTGTTAAAATATTAGAGCATTTGCCACAGTGGACAAAAATCGACCTTTTTTACAATATTATTTAGGCTTCGTTGGCCTTGGAATTATTGTTTTTGAATCAACATAAACATGAGACATTGTTCTACAAATTCTTGCAACAGATTTGTGAAATATATTTTCAAATCCGTTTTCTTGACATTTTAAGTTTGTAACAAATTTTCATTTTTTAAAAAATCTATATAAAACCAGAAAGATAAGGTATCGAAAATTTGTGGTAAGAATTCACATGTTTTTTGTAAAAAAAAATAGTAAATACAAATTTTCTGAAATCATGTACTGCTCTCGAGTCACAGTGT